CCTCTCTCTCTCTCTTCTCTCACACTCTCTCTCTCCTCTCTTTCTCTCTCCCTCTCTTTCTCTTCTCTCCCCCTCCCTCCCCCCCTCTCTCATAATAAAATCTCTCTCTCATAACGAAATGTACAAATGCTTGATTCTACTCCATCAACCTACTTTTTGGTGAGGCAGCTGCGCTTAAAAGATCTCCCCTGGGACCCTCAAAGAAATGCCGCATAAAACGGTTAAAAAAGCATCATTCCAGCAAAATATGTACTTATATGTGCAAAATAATTCAACAAAATAAAAACATGGTGATGCCACTTTGAAAATGCGCTCGTAAAAATCCCAGAGGTGGCGAAAAAAACTGTCATTTTTAGTAAAACAAAATCTCACACACTTAAGCTCCATTTCGCCAGATGTCGCTACTGCAATGTAAAGTTTACAGGGTGAAGGTACTTAGTAGTTTTCCTGACCTTTCCTGGAAAACATAACTTACTTGGTAACCAGGGGACGTAACTTAGTAAAATCGTTTTTTATAGATTTTTCTGTGTTTATTCAATGTACAAATGAACATTTCAAAACATTTCTATCCCAGGTGTGAAAGTCTAGAGAATGCATGTATCGGTCAAATATTACACACATTTTGACACAAGCTAAATTTTTCCCGCATTTGAGGGCAATCTCTATAGAAATCTGTTAATTCTTACTCAAACAACTAACCACCTTCAAAATCCTCGACCATGGTAACTAATGTTGGGTTACATCAGGTTGCAATTTTCAGCATGAAAGTTTTCTTTCTTCTTCTTCTTCTTCTTCTTCTTCTTCCTAATAGCGACCACGATCATCATGTTGATCATTCTGTCGCCTCCCGAAGCCTGGTAGAAGCTAGGAAATTCCCTACTCAATTTGTGGCCGAAATAGATTGATCTCCTCACATCTGCTTTGAGATTAGTATGCATGGCACGACTGAGTCTGTTTTGAAGCCTAAGCTAGGGCAGGACCTTACACTACCGGCGTATTAGTCACGCTCAATCGGCATAACCGTGCTAAATTACTTCTAACAAGTTCCAGTGAAAATTATTTTGTTTTTCTGCTGTTTGCAGCATGGAACAAATAACAGTTTACATTATTTTCCTGGTTGAAAACTGGTCCTTGTGAAGGCCAAGTTTATACAAATAATGTTTGAATAAGTTGCTAGGATCGTGTACTAAAAGACAAGAATCTGGCGGCTCATTTTTTTTTACTTAACTCACATAACTTCCATGATGTTGTAAATGAAGAATTGTATTCCTAAAATAAGCTGTCCTATTTGTCGTACTGTCGTCGTGCGATGATCGGGGCCATTCGTGGGACAGTCGTGCATATATCTTACCGGGAAAGACCAGGCTGTCTTAGGTGTCCGTAGATTATTCTGTCACTACCTTGATAATCAAAATCGTGCGTACGACGGCGTACGACCAATGTGACCGCACCATCATGCCCCTATCACACATTCAGAACCTTCCCAGACCAACAACCAACCAAGTGTAACAGTGGGGGTTTATAGGCGCTACCAACTGATCCGGCCGACGGGTCTAGACCTTTTAGCCGAATCGGTAGGAGCGTCGTGGTCGTGGGTTCGATCCCCGGCCCGGGACCAGGAGTGTCTCTACTCTCCTAATTCTTACACAAGGTCAAGGTTGGATGAAGTTCGGGAGCAGTCTGATCAGATTTAGATCACGCCTACCTTTCTAGGCAATTCGGATTGAATTAGAGTATAGATTTAAGTTAAATTCGGATTGAATTTGAGGTTATAATAGATTTAAGTTAAATTTGGCCTCCGAAGACGCCCCGAACATCAGTCAACCATGGCTGAACCTCTCGTCGACACCAAACAGTTGCCGACCTCGCCGAACGCCAGCCAACCTTGCTCCCGACTTACCTAACCATGGTTGTAGGGAGTTCGGTAGTGTTCGGGAGGCCATATTCGGCTATGTGTGACAGGGGCTTTTTTTATTGAAACACGTTTTCACTGCACTCAAAACAGTCTGGGTGGTCAAAGAGTTTGAAATTGACAAATGGACGTTTTCACGTGGATTTGGGTCATTGTTTACCGACAAAGACACGCGGATAACATCAACTGGTGCATCCAGTCCAAATCAGAGCACTCATCTCTATTTGCAGGGGACCTTCAGAGATAACAAGGGTCATCTTTGCACACCCCCAGATATGCATGTATGCCGGCAAATGAATGGGGTTGTCATTAATCAATTGTCAAAATGATGTAGAGTAGAGATTGAGAAAGGTTGATGAGAAACACTGTGTTTACAGATATCTCAATACAACATACCCTAGGCACTTCTAGCCTCCCTCGCAGAAGAACCCCGCAGAAGAACCGCCTCTCCTCGGCAAAGTCCCTCGGCGGCAAAACCGTCCCCGCGACATACTAGTAACTCGCGTCGCTCCCCGAAAAAAAATTAACGCCTCCACATCAGAAGTCTGCGAAGGAGGCTAAGGTACTCCACCTTGCGTGTTGTATCAGAGCTCTTGGTCTTGGTCTTGGAGGTTAAGGTAGCCAACATCAACATGCTGATGATTCTGCTACACTGTAGAATATGGACCATCGCACACCGGGGCATGCCCCTACTCTTTTTCGAAAGGTGTGGCTCTCCTCAAACACGGAACCTCCAGTTTACGTCCTATCCGAGGGACGTCCCTAACCGAAGCTAGGTACTCATTTACACCTGAGTGAAGTGAGGAAATTCGTGTAAAGTGCCTTTCCCAAGGGCACAAGATCGGTGACATGGGTGGGGATCGAACCCTGGACCTCTAGGTCCCGAGCCGAACGCGCTACCGCTGCGCCACACGACCCCACTCTTTTTAAATACAATGTTTTTTAAGTGACAGATAAAATCCACCTGATGGATAAAGGTTACAAATGAAGTGGGTTTCAGTATCTTTTCTAATAACAAAGCAAATTTTCATGTATTTAGCTATTTTTCTTTTTTTATTGTGAGAGCTGGCATATCTACCTAGGTATATCCAAATCTTCCAGTGGCATTACCTAAAACATCATATATAAAGTATTCCATGACAAAGTGTTGATATTTAGATAATAACATCCACACATTTTCTTTGCTGCTAGTATTGGTGTAATATCTGCCCTATACATTCACAGTTTCGGAAGTAAAAATCATATTATTCATTAACGTAATATTTAACACGCCAGTGTCAGATATGAGTATAGCGTTACTTGCAGTAAGGCCACGGCAAGTAATTTTTATGGTTGACATCAGCGCGCGCATTAATTTTCGTATGGTTTGGGAATGATAAAATTTTATTGCCCTCCGACAGTGGACAACATTCCGAAAATTGGCAAAGTAAACGTCTATCGGTTCAGAGACCATCAGGGATCCAGCAACTTGAGGCACAATTGTTCGCGTTTGATGCCAAGTGTTGACAGTACAAGGCGTCTCATATGTGTTTGTTACTATATGTGAGAAACAATAAAGTGAGTCAGTCAGTGAGTAACAGTTACATGAATACCCAGTGTAGAAGTTGTATGTTCATGATGGTACAACAAGCCTTTTTCTACAAATTGTTCAACTTAATCGAGATTATATAGTATACACATCTACAAGGACAGGTAATACTGTTGAATACAGGAATAAAAGACCTGTTGTCGTGATGTCGTGTTTGTCACCTCAATTCTTGTTCAACAAGGTTTATGATATCAGAATTTGGAAATGCAAGAATCTTGTTTTTTTTGCCCACCTTTTATTTTCGTTCTATCCATCATTTTTAGAGTCTGTGAAGGATATTGATGTCATTCATACAATTTACCTGCTGTAGCCTAAGAAATATTATTCCTAGAGGATGTTACATAACCCCTTGGGACGATAGGACGAGTAACAGTACTGGGAACATTACATCGCTTGCCACAGTTGCAAGCCCTAGTTTTTTTAACGAATTCAAGGTCTTCTACGCGTACGTGTATTTCCACACGTTACATAATGCTTGACGTCACGGAAAAAACCGTCCTGGTAGTAGTGGCCATCAGTATTCAAAGCGGATACTCCCGATCTGGTTAGGTCAAGAAAGACCCTGTACTGGGGCTGGGGTTAAAAATTCAGGAATTACATGGAACATGATTTTACATGACCCCTCTCTCAGGTCGAAGCTGGTTGGAACTGGTTTCTAAACACGAACGATATTCGATAGAACGTTCGAATGCTCTACGTACAGTTTTTCGTTCTTCAAATACATTCAACCTTGAGAGAGTGTCTTCTCTGTGTGTGTGTGTACAAGCTGACATCAGCTGATCGTGGTGTATACACGCGTTAGCAAACATGAGCAGTTAATGATCAACCCCCAGAGCCGGAGCGACCTGCCGTTTCGTCACACTAGCTTGCCGGCACACGTCGGAATCTCTCACGGGACGCGGGCATTCGAAGGGGCGGGCTGACCATGGTTGTCTGTACGGCTATACTCGGGATTCTGAGAGCCCGGGGTGGGTGGGGGGCGTGAGAAAGGTGGCAACAAGATGGCTCACGGTGTCATCTCACAGGTAAGACAATATTCCTCACATTCTCAAACTTATCGTGTTTAATTGTGCGTGAGTCTTAGAAATGTCCTTATCAAGTCCAGCTCTTGAGAAATAATAAGTTGGGAAACGACCTCAATGGTGTCATTGCTTTGTCGTACAATTCATCTGTCAATCAAACGAAGGTTAGCACTGACAGTTCTTGTCACTTGTCTGCTACGATTGGTCAAAATTTGAAATGTAATTAAGAAACAGCTGTAGGTAGATGGTTAGTGCATGAGTTGAGGTCATAGTTTGGGAAGCGCGGAACTGGGGCATAAGCCAGGTCTGGGTATTACTATTAGTCACAGGGCTTTCTCTCCGCCATTGCCACGTACACACAATGGCAGCAGGCAGGACCCCCAAACCGCCTGCAAATACCGAAACATCCGGGAGTCATGCCTCTGTTGGTAACGGCGGGACGTTATTTTTAGGGGTAAGGGGGTGGGGCGTGGGTTTGCTAGAGCTCATGTAGGGGAGATGTCATAAAAGTGGAAAGCAAAATGAACCGGCGCGAAAAGCGAAGATGACATTGGCCATGGGACGTGCGGTTGTCACGAGGGACCGTTCATTGATGTCGTCAGGGTCGCGTTTGTTCCGTTCAATGATTATTAAATCGTTCACAGTTTAATCTTCCCTAATATGTAAAACAAGCGTAATTCACGTAATCTGGAATGATATGAATATTAATGTTGTCATGATATGACCTTGACATCAGCAGTTCATGACCTTCCCTTCCCCTTAGAATTAACTGAACCTCCCCTTGAGAGCGGGTCTTTCTCTCTTACGTACCATGGGGTCAATAAATCAATAACTAACCTATTAACTTAATGATTACTCGTGTCAGTTTGTCATCTGGGAGAGGGAAAAGCTTGATGACTACACAATGAACTGAATAACTAGGTGTAGTTCTGTTTACTAGAGTAGCTTATAGAGATACTATTGTTGATTTTATATTTCTATTGGCCGTTATCAGTTTCTCAAATGATAATATGTAGCGTTGTAGTTATTTCGAACCCATGATTAAAATGTATTAAATGTGTAATAAAAATTGCATATTTAAAGTGGCATTAAACATTATCATTGGTTGATCCATTTGTTAATTTTAGATGTGTACCCTCACCCAACCTTACCCCACCCCCTTTGCAGAATGTAAGTAAGGCCACAGCAAGTCATTTTAGGGATGACATCAGTGCGCGCATTACTTTGCACCTGCATGATTTTGGGAAAAAAAATCGTTGCCCTCTGACAGTGCTCAACATGCCGAAAGATGTCTGTTGCCATGCCGGAACGTGGACGGTAGATAGATATGAAGAGAAGACAGGGCTCTGATTTATATAAATTTATTGTTTTGTCTTTTACTTTGATGCAGTGATGTATTTCATTCATTTTATGTGTGATGTTCCTACTGAATCAAAACCATTTGTACAGTGGTTGAATTAGAAAACCTTTATTTTGCAAAATTTCAGTGACAAAATTTGAAAATGTGCGAATCTTGTTTTTCTTGCCCGCCTTACTGTAATACTAGTATTTTTTCGCACTATCGCATTTTGGAGTCTGTGGAGGATGTCATCCATAAAATTTACTTGCTTTGGCCTAAATTGTTTTGGCAAGCGTCATATGCCCCAAGGATTAGGCTCAAGGTATTGCTACGTGGTTGTCACAGTTTGTTCATGGCTTGCCTTAGGTACTGAGTGATAATGGAAGGAGTAACTTTTTCAACCAAAAGGCAAAGGAAGATTAATCGGAGATATATTTCAGATTTCCGGGAAGTGTTTGAGGTATCCGTGAATGTATTGGAACTGTATTGTATAATCATGTACGTCATAGAATTGATCATTACGTGTTATTACGTATATTATAACGGTATTACACCATGGTTTATGTTTCATATCATGATTAAACAGTACACATTCCTGGCGACCTCAAAAACCACATCCTACCACTTAGAGCATGTCGGGTCACAACCTTGTCCATCAACAGATACCCAACTCTCTTCAAATCTTCGCCGCTGCGGATAAATGCATGTTTAACCACGCCCCCTGCATTTTTAGACCTCACAGTGTGGCGGTGCGTTTAACCACGCCCCCCTGCATTCTCAGACCTTACAGTGTGGCGGTACATGTTTAACCACGCCCCCTGTATTCCCAGACCTTACAGTGTGCCGGTAAATGTTTAACCACGCCCCCTGTATTCCCAGACCTTACAGTGTGCCGGTACATGTTTAACCACGCCCCCTGTATTCCCAGACCTTACAGTGTGCCGGTACATGTTTAACCACGCCCCCTGTATTCCCAGACCTTACAGTGTGGCGGTGCAGGTTGGCCAGTCCTCCATAACAGAGAAATCCGTTCTGCACAAGTACATGAGTTTACCCCAGCCAGACGAGAAAGTCCAGGTGTCTTACGTGTGGATAGACGGTACAGGGGAGGCACTCAGGTACAAGACCAAGACGGTTAATTTCGAGCCCAGCCATCCTGAAGGTAAGGTTCAAAATATACATGTCTTACACGAGTGAATGAACTCACCTGTGATCGTAATTGACATTACAAATATCTATTAGGCTATTTCCGTACACGAAGTAAAGCGCTTGCTAGCACATTATGAGAGTTTGCCTTACAATGATGCTGTAAAATATGTGGTGTTGGGTTACATTATGTTGCAAGTTACAGGACTTAGAGGGGCTGGTCGCCACATACATGAATGTGTTTGCGTAAATTAAGAATAAACAGAGCAATAATCTGTTAGGCTAGGATCGTCCTCATGTGAAGGGATATAATAAATATGCAAATGGTACCTTTCTAGTTGAATTCATTTCCATTTTCCAGAACTTCCACAATGGAGTTTTGACGGGTCGAGCACAGGCCAGGCGCAAGGGCAGAACAGCGACAGATATCTCCAGCCGGTCGCCATGTTCAGAGACCCTTTCAAACTGGGGAAAAACAAACTGGTGCTGTGTGAGGTGTACGACCAGGATATGCAGCCAGCAGGTTTGGGAATGGTCTTTTCTTTCAACTCCACAAGACAACAAGTACAGGGGGGTTGTGGGGTCGTATGGCGTAACGACAGAGCGTTCAGACCAAGAGGTCCCGAGATCGAATCCTGTTCGCATCCTGCCATGCCACCGATCTTGTGCGCTTATTCCATAGGCACTTTACACGACTTTCCTCAGTTAGTTGAAAATGAGTATGTCTATTGTCCGTTCATGTGTCATATTGCATTATCATGAAAGTTCATCTGTGTCGGTAGTTAAATGTGTGGGATGTTTTTAAAAAGTTAAAAGTTTTGTTCCAACACAAAAGGTAAGTGTTCTCACCTAGAGCTTTGGACCAGTCACTCTGGTCTTCCTCAGTAGACTGACCCAGTGAGACTTGTCACGTGGGTTCTCGGAAGTGTGGCGTCAACCGCGACGGGGGCCGACATCGCTTACCACATATACATTTTACCCAATGTTGACGTCACACTTCCGAGAACCCACGTGACAAGCTTCACTGGGTCAGTCTACTGAGGAAGACCAGAGTGACTGGTCGATTGCTCTAGATGAGAACATTTACCCTTTTGTGTTGGAACAAAAGTTTTACTTTAAACACGGACATTGCATATTAAGTAGTTCATTAGCATAACCTTGCAAAGAGCAGGATTTAGGAATAGCCAAAGAGAAGCTGATGAATTTTGTTCTTGTTTAGAGAGTAACAGAAGAAAGTCGTGTATGGACGCGATGATTCCCGTGATGCACCACGAGCCATGGTTCGGGATGGAGCAGGAGTACACACTGCTGGATGTGGATGGACAACCCTTTGGCTGGCCGAAACGAGGCTTCCCTGGGCCGCAAGGTGAACATTCTCTCTTTCCCAGTCCTTCTTTTGTAGTTCTTCTTTCCTTCTTTTCTTTTTTTCACATGTTTCTTCTTTGTTGCGCTGTAAAGGAGGTCACTGACCGCCGAAATTATTTTTCGTGGTACTTTTATATTCGTGGTTCTCGCGGTCACTTCTGTGGTGCGAATCTTTTAATTACTGCGAATAAATGATTCACCGACTTTCTTTCTTCTACATGTATACCTGCCACTACCGCGAACGTATAGTTCCGCGAATATGTCTCAGACCGCGAACTTTTGCTACCGCAAAGTGTTTTACAGTATTGTGTTTAGGCCGTGCTGATTTGATTTTTAAATAGATGACATCCGCGCGCAAGTTTTCGACCATACTATAAATCATATACATACAAAGCAGCTGCAAAATTATCTAATATATGCCATAAGTGCCAGTAAATATTGGGAAACGATACTAATGTCGTAGAATACCAAAATAAATTCGAAAAGAAGAAAATGAGAAGAAATGAAAATGAAGAGTCTATTATTTGCCATACCATACTCTGTGTGTTTACTAGTAGCCATTTTGTTCAACCTTCATGACCACGTAGATTTCATAATGAAGACAATTTTTGGCAAACTTTTTATTTGCATGCTCCCATCAGTTACGGGGTTCCAGAGGATGTCATCCATATAAAATCAAAACAACTTGGACTTGGTTGTGCCCGTACGTTCGCATGGTACCTGGCAGAGTTATGGGTATTAAATGATTCTGGTCTCACTATTGTCTGAGGTATTTGTGTAAACTTCTTAAGTTGACTGTGCCTAACAAAACAACAACAACAACAACAAAACACCAGTGCATTTACATGTACGTATACTACAAAATACCTAAACACAGTTTTCTTAAACGACATTATAGTTGTGCATTTGACTCAAGTCTCAATGACCTTGAGCAAGACAATGCATGACAAATACACCTCCCTTTCCCACACCCAAATGTCGAATATTCTCCTTCGCTCAAGCTATTACTGACGCTTCTAATCAATGTTCTTGTTGATATTTGATCACCTGAGTAAATTTGACGGCAATGTGTCGGCCTGGCTATTTCTAGACCAGGACAAAGTCCAGTCAGGCGCCACGCACGGAACACGTGAAGCCTGACCGTGCCGGTCTGTAGCACGTAGAACACCCGGCCATAGTTCAGGAGTTCAGACCAGGACACCTGCTCATATAACGGCGTTATATCGGGACATTTTCAGTGAAACCCCGGTATATTGCTATGTAACACATTTCAAAACGGACTGAAAGATGACAGTTTTGATTTGAAAATAAGTTCTACGTTTTGAAATTTAGTTTTATGTACCCAGGGACACTTGAAAAACACATGAAAAAGACTGAGTGTGGTCTATTGTTAAAATGAATGAATGAAATGAAAATATCTTCATTTTGGTTGATCGTCAGTGAGTGAGTAAGGTGTTGTATTGCCAGTGTGTGTGTGTGTGTGTGTGTGTGTGTGTGTGTGTGTGTGTGTGTGTTTGTTTGTGTGTGTGTGTGTGTGTGTGTATTTTGTTTGAGCCTTTATTTCAACTCGATCTGTAACAGTGTTACATGCTCTAATCGGCCGCTATTTCGGCCGCTTTTCATAGAGGTCGAGCGTGGAGGAGTGTCAGGGGGTCATAACATAAATACTACTTGCTCACAAATGAAAACAAAGTAATATTTTTTAAACATAAGGTAACTCACACAAAGTAAATAAATAAACAAAATGGCAATAACTAATAAATAACTCATAAGTCGTTGTGTCCAAAGTCGTCCAGTCAGTTACGATACTAGCAGTCTTTTAAAGGTTCTAAGAGTAGGTGCTGCTCTAACATGCTGCGGAAGAGCGTTCCATACAAGAGAGCCAGAGTAGGCTAGGGATCTCCGGTGTATGTGTGTGTGTGTGTGTTTGTGTGTGTGTGTGTATGTGTGTGTGTGTTTGTGTGTGTGTGTGTGTGTACATGTGTGTGTGCATACGTGTTTGCGCGTGCGTGCGCGTGCGTATATATATGTGCGTGTATGCATGTGTGTGAATGTGTGTGTGCGTGTGTTTGCCTGTGCCCGCATTTAAATACAATAGAATGACATTAGGGGGAGATATTGTTACCGCAGAGACCGCAGATTGACCTTAAGGTCATGTTGACAGACTGGGAGGGAGTCCACACACACAAATCAAGGCGTGTCAGGACAAGATCTCAGCCTACAAGGTTCCTGTTATATCAGGCGCGTTTAAAATACGTCAGATAATCTATTTGACTGCGCCAATGATAAATTGACAAAAATCTTTGAATACTTTCCGGAGGTTTGAAATCTCCTTTTTCTAGTTTTACTCAAATCCACAGGTTGGCAGACTCACTGTAATTAATGCCGAACCAACGTCCTTTGGGAACTTTTCCATAACGATTACTGACAGAGGTTATTAACTTGAAGTAGTATTAAATATCAAGATATCATGATGGTTTACAAAAAGCGGTCACAGGCCGCTGTACGATTTTGATGTGGTAAACATTTCAAGCCAACCACCGATAGGGATCTCGGATAGCTTTTTTTCGTAACAAGACAGCTGAATTTTGTACGACCCAGGCACGATTTCGTACGACGATTGTACGACGGCCACACGACAAGTGTGACCTGGCCCTGAAAAGGGGCGTATCACAAGTGTGCGATGCTGTTTGATGTCCATGCGGATTATAACTAAGGTTCGTGACCTTGCATTGTGGCAGTTTTCAATGTCAACAAAACCTTATTGGGGTCACATACTAGTGGATTGTATATCACTGAGACAGCGACTTATAACGGACTTTTGTACACCTGTATACAATACAATACATCGTGTGAACGGCACCAAATACAGACACACTTGAATGCAATTCAGGGTGGCAAAACAAAATATTTTGATGAGAAAATCTGCCTGGTATTAAGTTACTTCCATTTCTTGGCACATTTTCGTCATTGTTTCAAACTTGCAACGTTTAAGATAGCCCCAAAACAAGCTAGCCTCCACCAGGCCTTTCTACGGGAATACGGATCGTAGAATTCGGCAAAATTGGCCAAGGGAGTCCGGCCGCGGGGAGGTAGTTTCGTTCCCTAACTGCGCGGCATAGTCAAACCCCAAGGCGGCCAAACTCCCCCGGCAAATATTCTCCTATATTATAGCCAGCGTAGTTCGTCTGGTAGAGACTAAAAACAAGCCACGAGAGTAGATGTTGTAGAAATGAAGGCCAAGTTAAAAAATGGTCTACCTGTCTTTTTCCAGAGGTACTGCAGCGGGCTTTTTATGAGTTTGTTGATTGTACGTGTTCAGCATAAATCGAGAAGCTGTGAATGGGTATTTCTTTAAATAATTTCCAACATGTAATCACAAGACGTGGTAACGGTACACTCAAGTTTTTCAAACTTATATTGTGAACGGGTATTTGGTAGGTGGGCATTGGTTATGGTATCACAGTTCAACTTCGAAAATGGTTATCCTGCCATGTTCCTATATCACATTATCCTGTGTTGTTCCGTAGGTCCGTACTACTGCGGTGTGGGTGCAGACCGTGTGTTCGGGAGGGACATAGAGGAGGCGCACTACCGGGCCTGTCTGTACGCAGGCATCGACATCTCAGGAACAAACGCCGAAGTCATGCCTTCACAGGTCAGAGTCAAGCCAATGTCGCACATTCACGAATTTGGCCTCCCGAACGCTAGCCGAAACCCCGCCAACCATGGTTAGGAGTGGGGCGGCGTAAAGTTGGCTGGCGTTCGGCGAATTCGGCTAGTTCAAGTTCAAGTTCAATTTTATTCAAATCAACTGGCATGTACACAGATTCACAGAAAATGTGACATGAAATTCGTTGACAATTACATTAAAAGCTCTCAAACTGTGACATGAAATACGATGACAATACAGTAAAAGCTATCAACATGAAGACAACGATTAAAAGCAGCATAATTAAAAACCAGTTAAAAATACAAAACACTCGTGATGAACAGAGTTCAGTTCTTATACAACTTAATCGCTCTAGGAAAGAACGAAAGTTCATGTCTCTTTGTACGGCTTTGTACGGCTACGTACGGTTCGGCTTCATCAGCGTTTAAAACATTCGTGAGTGGAGGTTAGTTAGGGAGGTTCGATCATACATGTAGTTGGTTGATTTTTGACCGTAAGTCAGCGCCAACCATCCGGAACTAAGTAAGCAGCGTTCGGTCGTGTTCAGAGATCAAATTTGACTCCAATTTAACTCAAATTCGTTCCGATTCATATAGAAAGGTAGGCGTGGCCTAAATGTGGACGTCAGAGTGTTTTCTAACGTTAGCTGAACCCATTGTCATAGGGTCTATTTTCAGCCGAAGAAGAAAAGCGTTCAATTCTCTCGCGGATTTTTGAAATTCAGCGATTCTTTGTCGACAATCGATCAACAAATTCGGCCGAAGGTCGTTGACATTGTGACTCCGGCTTTAGACACAACGCAGCTCACGTGCACAATACGTGATATGTAGTCTCCAATCACATCTTAGGGGGCAAAATTGTGACGGTTTCACCGGTTTCCAAAGGCTGTGCGACTGAATCTGCACTCTGAACCTTCACGAGTTTGCCACTGAAGGTCGATATCTACTTTGGGATGCGTAAAACCGATCAAAGGAAAATATTGTTACGTTTTTGCTCCTTTTCTTCTTCTTCAAACCATGGAGGTACCTCCATGTTCAAACACTAGATAAGTTCAATAACCTGGACCAGACTGTAGCAGACGCCATGTGATGACATTATGTAGCAAGTTGGAGGGGCTGGTCACTATCAATGTGTTTGAGTAAGAATAAACAGAGCTTGTCTTGTAGTAAATTCAAAATGTATTACTGGATAAAGAAACAGAACTGTTGTTTGTTGGGCTAAACTATGTGCATGTTAACCAAATGTTACCTTTCTAGTTTAAAGAAAGTCTGTTCCATGTTCACAGTGGGAGTACCAGGTAGGTCCGAGTGTCGGGGTGGACCTGGGGGATCACATGTGGATGGCGCGGTTCCTCCTGGACAGGGTAGCGGAGGACTTCGGTGCCGTGGTCAGTCTCCACCCCAAACCCGTGTCAGGCGACTGGAACGGCGCCGGGGCTCACATCAACTTCAGCACCAAGGAGATGAGGGGAGAGGGTGGACTCAAGTAAGTAGGACCGGTCATATTCTATCATGTTTAGTATTGTTTACCTTTGCAGAAGGAAACATATTGTTTTTGCTTAGTTTATTTTTGTTCATCTTCTTCTGTTTCAAACAAATAAGTGACAATGACCTGAACCAGACGTCCGTTGCCATAGTAACTGGTGCTGCAGCAACACCCTGTAGTGTTGGGTTACATTATGTAGCAGAACAGAGTTGGAGAGGCTGCTCACCACACATATGAGTGTATTTGACTTTGAGTAAGAATAAACAGTGCAGTAGTTTGTTGGGCTAGACCAGGTGAAGGTAAACATTATGCATTTGCTTTGCAAATGTTATCTTCATATATTATTTTTGTTTTCTATTCTATTGCAATTTACAGCAATCGGCAAATGCATTAAACATACACATATGACTTAATTAATCCTTAATAATAAAGTTACATGTGCACTAAAAAATCGAATTGTAAATGATTTTCCACAATGCAAAATCGAAAATGTTACATAATTTTACAAAATTTTACAGAATTTTACATAACGAATATATCAATTTGCAGATTCATAACAGAGGCATGTGAGAAGCTGGCCGCCCGCCACAAACACCACATCGGGAAATACGGCAAGAACAACGAGCTGCGTCTGACGGGGCTACACGAGACGTCCAGCATGGACCGCTTCTCCTTCGGTGTAGCAGACAGGAGCGCCAGCGTGCGGTAAGTCGAAGTACTGCATTGTATTTAAACTTTTGCAGACTCATTGACAACATCATGTTTCTGAACAAAGTAGGCAGAGCCAATTACAAAAGTCTAGTTTTGCCGTCCTGAAACTGCATTGGACGCCTTTAAAATATAAATTTACTTTATATTTGTACTAGGATACCGAGAGCGGTACAGGACGCCGGGAAGGGCTACCTTGAGGACCGCAGACCGGGGTCTAACTGTGACCCGTATGCCGTCATAGAGGCGCTGGTCCGGACCTGCCTGCTGGACGAAGTGGACTAGTGAGGGTGTCGTGCGGCGCGGTCACAGTTGTCGCACGACCGTCGTACGATCCTGATGTAAAGTGTTCAAGCAGGCTGCAAGAGAGCCAACTGCCAATTCTATATAGGACGGATTTTTCCTAAGACGAATTTTGCACGACAAATGCTCGATTTTCCCCGAGAATCCTCTCAAGTTTCCGATCGTACGATCATATGTACGACGGTCGTACGACGATTGTACGACAAATGTGACCGGGTTTTACTTGACGTCATTTTACGTGAAAAAATGTGATGTCATAGCGAGCGAGGATGTATTCACTCTTATAACATACGTCGAATAACAACGAGAAATGAAGTGCATGGGTTACATTACTTTTTGTGATTGTATATTTGATTTTTTGTATGTAATGAATACGTTGATAAGCTTAGATATGGCCAACTATACATGTGTGTGTCTCTGTGCCAATTTCTAACTCTGCAAAGAGGACGGTATTTAAAAGGATCTGCAACTATCTCACGTCTCAACACATAACCATCAACACCACTAGACCTAACACACGAGTGTTGAACCGCCTTTCTTGAGTCTTGAGATTCTTACGCTAGCAGTGTAGTCCCTGATTTGTCCCAAAAAAGATGAGCCGGTGGAAACCATATATATTCAGGTCGTCTAAAATCGTGTAATTGTATTGTTGACACGTGACCTCACAACCTCTATGCTGATTGGTTGAAGCCGGATACACATTTGTATATCTAAACTGAGTAAACTAGTGCTATATATAGTATATATACTAGTGTATCGAAAATACACGAGTTATACATGCACGAACGTTACAAATTTACCTGGCAGTTTGATTTAAACCTCCAGCAGCATGACGGACAATAGTTACATGAAGTTGCGTCATATAGTTTCTGTCAGGGAAATCTATGACTTCTCTCTACATATACATACAAACACACATTTTTAGCTAGCACTGAATTCGAAAAAAAAACATGTTTTGTAGAAATGCATCATTTTATGCTATTTGTGTGAATGAAATTCGAACGACGATGTCAAATGTAGAACACGTGAAATAACTATTACCTCTAAACTATCTGAAGTCCCTGTCGTGGCGCAAATGGACAAATAATGTTGCCAACATCTCGGATTTCAGGGCTCGAAATACTGTTTTCAGCATACCTGCACTAGTGTAGGTACCTGCACCAGATAAATTTACCTGTACCACTCAGACTTTATTAAGAAGTATTGATCATACTATATATACTAAAAACTGTTCAAAAACTATTTTCATTATTTCTTTATACTTTATTGGTGGTAACAGTCAATGCGGCAAATACAAATACACCCACATGTACATATATAAACACAGTACATGGACCAGTGCAGGTTAGGTGCAGGTAGACATCAGAAATACCTGTGCAGCTCCAATTTCACCTGCACTAAGGTGCATATGCATCCAGTATTTCGAGCCCTGTGAACTAAGTGTCTGTGAAAGTTGAAAAATACTAATTGGACCAAAATGAAAATGTGCATTACTGTACTACCGTGCCGTTTTTGTATATGATAGATACAATGTTCTAATAAAGTGGATATTTCTTGTGGCAAAGTATAACCTTTATTCGAGTAAGAGCATAGTGTGTACGGTGTGGGCTTCTGGTTGCATTTATGATATGAAACGCATGATGTCGTTACTGAGACAATACGGCCGACGTTGGTGGGGAGTGCGTTGTAGAAACCCTATTTAGTTGGCAGCTAATACGGAACGTACTATTATTTATGGACCAATACAATAGAATTCACGTCAATTCCCAACCGGAACGAGAATGTTGACGAATTAAATCCGGAAGAGGGTGGGGGTCGTTTTTGACTTATATCCTCGAGCATGTTTGAACGAGCCGTACTGCTAGAATGTCGTCAAAGTATGTCGTCAGGTAGTTAGCCTGGGTAGGTATTTACACACGATCATGGTGACGTGGGAAGCATTGACGTACATAGCGTTTGTCTTCCTTGTAAACAATGTGTGTTATTGAACACAACACAATGGGCATTTGCCATTTCAAGTACGAGATCAGGGTGGGTCTGTCTATGTCACATATAACGTCATTCTGAACCTTCCAACGAACACTTGGTTGGCCTTAGTTCGGGAGCAGTCCGGTCAGATTTAGGTCTGAACTACGTATACCTTTTGAGTCAGATTTGACAGCAAACGATGTGGAACCGAACCATCCGTCCACACCCTAATGTTTTAGATATTTTTAAACGCAGTCGGCTGTCGCAACCTAGCTAATATTAGCCGACCTCCAGCCAACCACCGACCTACTCACAACCATGGTCGGCAGTGTTCTGGTAGTCTCCAAGCAGATCTTTCGGTGGTCGCAAGACAGTATCCATAAGCCAGACAGTATCCATTCGGCGGCAAATGGATACTGCCTGGCCAATTTGATACTCTCTCGCGCCCACCTAAAGATCTGGTTGGAGATTACATATATCCGGCTGTGTTTGACGTTAGGGGCGTTACCTAGCCTTGGTATTCGATCCAGATCGTGCGTTTTTTCTGTCCTCTAAAATTGAAGTACATTTTCAAATTTTTTTGTAAATTATTTGACAATTGTCAAGGAAGGCTGTTACGTGCGAAAAGGTCATTCTCAAATTGTTTTTAAGTAACGCAGGTAGTTTATATTGAGGAGAACAGAAACATTCCTATGTTGGGAGTAACTAACTACGCAGGAGGGACACATTCCTTTGGGGTCATGGCTGACTGTTGTTGTCGTCTGCACCTGATGACGTCATTCCGACGACCTGGCAATTAAAATCAATTACGGCCTAACTACGCCGTCTGTTAATTTTTTCTGGAGGATTTGTTTTTTTTTTTAAATTTATTATGAATAAATTATGGGAGACAATATTCTTACATTATTTGCAACATAATGTAGGTTCCATGTTCCAACGAGGACATTATACACTTCTGTGTACACTTCATGACCTTAAGCCTTGGTTCCAACAACTCTTACACAGCCCAATCATACGTGAAAAGACACAAACATAATAACAAAAGCATTTCCATGTAATGTAATATTTTTGTTTATTTCAGTCAAATGAACTTTGAAGGTAAAAACTGATCTACACATGGTAAAATAAATAGAGCAAAACCATAGAGCCAGATATAGAGATGGCAGAGCCAGCCTAGGTCTAGGATACAAAATTGCTGTATTTATGAACCTGCACCGCTGAGAGCAGTAAAGTAGATCGAACAGAAGTGACAAGCAATGCAGTTTTTGGTTTTGGATATTGCAGGTAGCAGCAACCCTTTTTAAGAGTCCATGTGTTGTACATTGGTATACCCTATTTAGACAGCACCAAATTACTGCTAGACGAACATATACCGTACTTAAGACAGACTGTCAGACATTTAGAAGTAATTTTACAAGTTCCCATCTGTGCAGATATTTAGTGAACCTCGACTGGTCAACCTTAAGATGATACAGCTAGTAGACAACACCCCCCTCCCACCTATTCTGAGGTAATGTACACATGACCTATATTGAATACACCCCCCTATCCCAGAACAATATTTACAAGATATTCCCCTTATTTCTTACGAAGAATATTACATATCACTCCTGTCTATTAACATATCAGTATTCTGGTCCCATTTCAACGTTCTTCCAATGTAAAATAAACACTTCATATCACTTCAGTACCAGTTAAATTGGATCTTTTTACTTCAAGTGGACTGTTCAAAAGTCCACATATTGCTGACCAGACAAAATACATGTCATTTATAGGGATTACAGAGTTTTAAAAAAAACAAGGCTGTTAACATGATTTGAGAGGGCTGTTCTACACCAGTGTTGCTACTGTTTACTTCTTGTCGGTCTCGCCCAGAGTAACTGTACGCACAATTGCTTCTGTAACGAGGTACGGGTCACAGTTGGATGAGGGGCGGCGATCCTCGAGGTACCCACAGCCCTCCTCACCCACGTGACGGGGTATTCTGATGCTGGCGCCGCGGTTAGCCACGCCTGCGGAGAAATCGTGGATGCTGGAGGTCTCGTGTAGACCGGTCAGACGGCGAGCGTTGTCGGCGCCCTGTTTGGGATCGTACATGGCGATGTGGTACGCATGTCTGTGGGACAATCTCTCGATGGCATCCTCGATGTCCCTGAAGACAAGACAAAGTACTTCCGATTAGACATTGCTGTATCGATAATCTACATGCAGATACTTTTATCTTACTGAAATTACTGCAAATCACTGTATATGCTTTACCATGAATTCATAATTACCACGAACAATTCGCCAACTGTCTTCTGCACCTTTCACTTACATGTCAATTTTTCTCAGATTGAAATTTTCATACCCTGAATATAAAGTGATTTACAGGAACTCAAATAGAAGTAAAGAAATAGCAACAACAAAGATCGCCAACATATTGTGACATCCGTTGCTAATATTCTTAAGACAACAATGGAGTTACAAATCCTGTGGTGGTTTATTTTGTGGTGGGAGGGAAAACTAGGACTTTGTAGTGTTTGAAGTCTGTAATACACAAAAACTACACAACACATTCATAGGGTTTCCATGTATGAGGTTGCCATTCAAATTAAACTAATGCAAACATTTCAACACGAACAGTACATACTTGATGCCACCAGGATTCCTCATGCCCAGTGTGGAGAAGTTGGTGTGGGCACCGGCACCGTTCCAGTCCCCAACCATGGGCTTGGGGTCGAAGGTGACGATGACGCCAAAGTCCTCGGCCACGCGGTGGAGGATGTAACGAGCCATCCACAGGTGGTCTCCCATGTCTATCCCCTCACACGGTCCAACTTGGAACTCCCACTGCAATGGAAATTAAACATCAGTAAGTTTTTAAGGTAATAAAATATCTCTAACACTAAAGAATCTGCCAAATTTTAGTACATATGAACAACAACAAGAGCTATCTGCCACCCAAAACCCTTCAAGGGTTGACCATAACAAGTACAGATCGCAATACTGATTTGGCTGCATTACTGGGGCCCCTGGTTATTATACCAGGGGCCCCAAAATATAACTCTCTAGGTCTCCAGCTACCAAGTTTCATGACAATCCATTCAAAGAAAGTATCCCGAGTTGTCATGCCAATCCAAACTCACAAATACCGCCAAAAACGCAACCATAGAAAATGAAAAAAGGAGAAGCAGACTGGAACTGACCTGTGCAGGCATGACTTCAGCATTGCTGCCGGCGATCTTGACTCCGGCGTACAGACAGGCGCGGTAGTGTGCCTCCACGATGTCACGTCCGTACACCTTGTTGGCACCAACACCGCAGTAGTAGGGTCCTGGAATACAGTCATGTCTTTGTTAGCACTTTTGCAACATGTAGTAACACATATGAAGATAAAGTCGAATTTATGCCCCAATATAGTGGTGTTTGGAGAACACATTCTTTTCCAAAAAAGATACATTATATAGATTTCAGTCAAAAGTATGTCCCTATGCCCACCTAAGGATTGCATCAACCAGTTCAATTCAGTCAGGTCAGCAAAAAAAGGGTCCCTAGGGGTTACAGCTGTGATAAACAACCTCGGTAATCAGCTATTATCTAAGCACTGCACAGAGGCAAAATTTCCACAATGCTGAATAAATTAAGGTATTGCATCATGCTGTTTTGGCTGGGGGATGTCGGGGTTTGACTGAATACATAACACCTCAAATCATAAACTAATTTGTTCCAGTCCAAATTAATTGAGATAACAACATTTCACTACAATTTTTTAAATGAAAAAGAATTTCCTTGCTACAATCAATAATGCATGAAAATGTCATTTCAATGTCATTTTGCATGTTAAAAGTTGTTTTGGGGCATCAAAAATGACCATGCATTTGCCTGGCAGGGAAAGTGGATTTTTAAATTTGTCCAAGCCTGAAATAGAATTTCAACACCTACCCTGGGGTCCGGGGAAACCTTGCTTGGGCCAGCCGAAGGGATGTCCATCGTGGTCCAGGAGGGTGTACTCCTGCTCAATTCCGAACCACGGGTGGGAGTCGAACGATGCCTGCATGGCCTCGTTACACTTGAGACGGTGGTTGGTCTCAGCTGGCCTCCAGTCATACTTAAAGACCTCACACAGAACCAGCTTGTTCTTCCCCAGACGGAAGGGATCTCTGAACATGGCCACAGGCTTCAGGTACATGTCGCTGTTGGAGCCCTCGGCCTGTCCTGTGCTGGAGCCATCAAAGTTCCAGGTTGGGAGTTCTGGAACCAACAATTTAAAGTCAATCTTCTAGCTTGAGTCCACTTTCCATCTAAAGAATTTTGCTTCAAACAAAATTTTTTCACAATCCATTGGGAAACATACCACTAAACTAAGCTTAGTGTACCAGTCGCAGGAAACAGCATTTCAAAACTTCCCCAAGGAACATATTCTAGGACCCATTAGAACTGTTGTGCCTCCAGCATTATGCCTCACGTTTTTGTCAAAGATGTCAAACAAAATTGAAATGAAAAAAAAAATTGGCTGGATAAACCAGTGATATAGGGTAAGGCTTTAACAATTTACTTTCTCATTTCCCAACTTTCAGAGAACTTCCTCCAATTGTTTATGATATCATTCTGGGGCCAGTTCAGACTTGTTACATCAAACGAAAAAGGGGAAAATTTGAGACCCAGAAACTGTCTAGTATGACCTACACATCATATTTTACAATTAAATTACATGTATTTAGGATAATTTTTGCAGTGTTTTTCTCAGTGGTAAGTAATTGTAGTTCAAACAGGGGGCACTTGTTTCAGCAACATACATCAGGATGTTTGCCCAAGACCCGGACACAGATCACAAGATACCATAGGAACCGGCACAAACTGGAACAGCTCAGGGATAACAGTTGGGACGGCTTTGTTGTGCAGTTATGTGGGAAAGTTTACTTTGCCTTGAGCATTGAAAACCAGTCAAAACCGGGTCACATGCATGCCTACAATTACATTGTACATGAGGTGCCTTGCCAAAAATTCCATGCTGTTAAACTGGATTTAGTCTAGCATCTAGCAGTTGTTCTTTAGTTTAAGGAAGACAATTTACATCTGAAATGCTAAGTGGAGTGAATAGGTATTGTCTTGAGAGTGAAAGTCTTATCTTAGTACAAACTTTGAACCTTGAAAGAAGCTGATTCTAGCTTTGTGCAAATACACTATTGAAAGCAGATCGATCCATAGTCCAGCTGTGTTCATTTGTGCATTCATTGTAGGTATCCTTATGTAAGTACTTGGACTTCGGTCAAGTCGGTACCATTTGGTTCACAATAACTTCACAATGATGCAACCGTCGCTTTAGTGTCCACTTGACTTACAGATGACGCAAATGGTCGGACCGTTGGCAGTTTCAACTGTTTGAACTGGACACACCACAACGCCCTCCCCATAAACAAAATTGTTTGTCCACCTAAAGATTGCATCATCCAGCTCGATTCTGAGCCAGGTCAGCAAAAACAGGTCCCTTGGGGGTTAGCACTGTGACAAACAAGCCGGGGAAATCAGCTGTTATCTACACACTGCACAGAGGCAAAATTCCCACAATGCCGAATAAATTAGGGTATTGCATCATGCTGTTTGAGCTGGGGGTTGTGGGGTGTTGACTGACTGAATCCACCTCAAATACTGAATGCACCTCAAGTCATGTATCTAACTTTCTCTAGTCCATGAAATGACCACTACTAGTACTAGTGTATTTTCCGCTTTTACTCAAGGGACTGACTGTCACTGACAAATTGACTTTTGAGTGTGAAAATCCAGTTCTACTGCCCTGAAAGCAAAATTACCCAGAGCTTTAAATGATAACTAAATACCAACTAACCTTTAATATCCTTTGGCTCTGTTTCCAGTGTTCTTGTTTTTCCACGCAGTCCCTCACCACTGCCGTCAACCCACACGTACATGGCCTGAACCCGTTCTCCCTGGTCAAGCTTCATGTAGCGGTCTAGGACCGACTTGTTGGTGGCAGCCGAAGGTGTTAGTGCTAACGCCATCTTGTTGTTTCTAGAAATTATAAAATAGAGATGTGTCAAAAAAATTATGAAGGTTAGACATCCAGGTAATAAGATTAATTAATACACACAAGAAAACTAACAACTACTGAATAACTTTTTAAGACTGTCAGATGATCCAATACTACTTTTTGACAGTGTCTAACCTAACCGAATCTGTATCTGAACAGGTATTTAAATACTATCAATTGATATGTAAAAGAGTGAAGACAAATTCAATACTACTAGTAGTCTATAGGAAACAAAAAATTAGACGAAGCTAAATAATTCTATAATGTGCTTGGTGCAGCCATGTTGATAAAAATATATGAATCATTCCTTCAAAAAATTTCTATTGTCGTAAGGTAATGTTGTCGGCCATGATAGCGATATATTGTCACATTATATGCGTATATGTGACACTTCAGTGATTCACAGTAGAACGTGGAATTTTCCTCCACGTGAACATATTATAGCTACGGACTACGGCACAGTACATGTACCGGTAGAAATATTTGGCAGCAGTCTGAAAGTGTGTGACAGGGATTTCAATAAAATGTTGCATATGATGGTATAGTTGCTGTGTCTTAACTGTTCTAAGCAAGGGTTTCTAGTCGCCAAAATTATTCTGGGTCACGTTGAACTATCCTACTCAGTGAAGCGTAAGAAGCTTTTCGTTTTTTTTTCTGTCCTGGAATAAAAAAATACGACTTTCTGCCTGAAAATTAAAATTTACAAAAGGACTTCAGCTTGAGGTTCAGGTACATAAACGTCAGACCACATTTGGAAAATACTTTTGCAGAGAATAAATCAATTATCAGTGAGCGGCTTCACCTGACGATAATTTTTGGCGGTACAAGTTTGCCCGCCAAATTATTTCCGCCAAGTGCAAGCCGCCGCCAGTATTAGAGAAATAGGCGGTATATCCATTCTTCCCAAGCCGAACACGCACCCGATTTTAAAGCCCCGTTCTCCAGACAGTACGCTATCGCAGCCAGGCCATTTACGTAAAACGTGGACTTTGGCCATACAAAAATTTCCGTCTGGTCAACACGCATATCCTGAGACATAAAGTTGACCAAGCCAAGCCGTCGTCTGGCAAATTATAACGACACAGAACCAGTCAAAACAACAATAATCGTACAAGCACTAGTTTTAAAATGTTGGAAGACCTGTAAACATTAATACATAGGCAAAATATGAAAATTGTCACACAAAAGGGTAGACAACTTACCTGTTTGTTAGTTACGGTACGACTCCGCTCGCAGTCAAACTTGGAATGAATCACACCGAGGAATGGTGGAAGAAACCTTTCTGTGTGCTGTTCACGTGAACACGCCTGATCATGCTCGGCTCTGATTGGTCAGGAGGAAACGGGGGGCTGTGATTGGCTAATATCTCAATAACCATTCACTTTGCACGTGTGGCCCTGTGTGAAAGCGCTGCCATGACGTAGAGGAATCATGGCTTCTGATTGGTTTGATTTTTAGCTTGAATATTTTGCGCGCGAAAATGACAAAGAAGCGCGTATCATTTTCCTTACTCGGCATATATAGCGTCTGATGTAAACATTGGCTTCTTCTTTTTTTACTATCAGAATTTTCTCTCAATAATGTTTTCAAATGAAATTGTGAATGCCTTTGGTGGTGAATGCCCTACGTTTAGTTGACAGCGATCTCTTGAAAGTGAAAGTTTTGCTGAAAAATAATAACAAGAACGAAAATACGGTAAAATTAGAATCATAACAGAGAGTAGAGGAGATATACATTGAGGTCGAAGCGAAATGCTGTACCATAAATTGTAACTTATATGCACTATAGTATGGTTCAATTACAACATGGAGTTGAAAGGAGATAATTCCTTGATTACAACGTTAATAAATTAAATGAATACAACAATAAACGTTACAAAAATAACCACGTATTTTTTCGGGGCACGTCCTGAAAATATTGCCAAGCCATTTTGAGCTCACATCCTTAACCCTAATCAGGACAAGACAGCCTATCCTAGGCCTGGTTCCTGGAAAAGATGCCGACATTGCCTTATAGCAAGGTTATTTCTAACCTAAGAGGACCGCCACCCCAACATGAGAATGTCGTCTATCTGGGCTCAGACCCAAAGAAGTGTCAGCAAGTGATTTGAAGGCTGCATTCTTCAAGGTCCTTGACCGTCCTTACCAGGATACTTCTGGAGCAGCCGCCTTACATGTACGTTTCAAGCAAGGAAACAGCTCTGACACTTGAAAACATTTGCTGTTTTGACGAGGGTTATGTCGCTGTTATGTGCGATGTTTGATGTCAGTGATGGGAGAAGGTTGGGAAGAATTTTGTTGGCGAGCTCAGTGCGCGATCACACGCTAAAGACACTGTCAAGCATTCAGAACCTTCTCCCGAGCTCAAGAATAAACGAAGAAATCTACGAACAAAATTAGATTTGAGTTAAATTTGAGTCAAATTCGTACTCTCCAAGCAGGGGTTGGGGTTTTGGCTTGTTTTTGGCGTGTTTTTAGGCTTTTTTTTTTAAATCGGGCTTCCTTATAATAAACCCAGATCCAAACCTCTGCTTGGAGAGTATCAAATTTGTCCCCGAACACTGCTGAATCAGATGACCTACTCCCGAACACCAGCCAACCATATGACCACACCCGAATGTTAAAACGAGCAGTTTGCGAGCAGTAGCACTAGCAGCAAACTTTGCCGAACACCAGCCAACCGTGGAAGTGCACAGCCGATCTTGCTCCCGACCTACTACTGACAACCATGGTTGGGGGAAGTTCGGCAAGTGATCGGGAGGCCATATTCGGCTATGTGTGACAGGCGTCACGTTCAGTGCTATGTAGACAATTTCCGACAGGTCATTCTGACACGGTGTAGTTCAACTCTGCCGGGACACCACAGAACTGATTTGGACCAGGCAGCTAGTTTAAATAGCGTGGCGGATATTTTTGAACCTGGCTATCTGATGAGATAAAAGCAGAGATGAGTCTTACCACAGACTGATGTGTTACCAGGGGACGCAGGGAAAAAAGATATCATGGCTAACAAAAAATAACGTGTACTAAATAGCTCGCTACCGCCTCGAAAGGCTCTGATAACAAGCTCTGTCAAGATTCAAGGTTACACATGGCGCAAAAATGCTACCTTTACATATTCCATAATACTTAGTATAAACGAAACGTTTTCAGCTGTATTCGTCTGTTGTTTCTGTGATATGTTTGTTTGTTTGTTTGTCTGTTTATAAACCGTACTGTGTATCTCCAAACATTTGGATGCACCAATTTAATTTAGCAGTCCTAGGTTTGTCAGTCAGTTACCGGTATACCTTTTACCTGCTTACTAACATTTATTTTCAAATATAGTTACCATTTGCAAAAAGATACCAGTACAAAAAAGAAGGTCCGATAAAAACGCATATAACGCGTAAAAAATAAGCCGAAGCCCCAACATCTACTTGGAGCGTACGTATACCGGTCGACACGGACCGTATGGCGTATCATATATATAAGGCTATATCGGATGTAATGATATACTGCTGTGTTTTCCATCACGAGCCATATCGAGAAATATTATACTTACATTGAATTTGAGCCGGACGCAGCAAAACTCAATGTCAGACGTAAGCATTTTTGCGAAACATGCAACCTATAGCTGTTTTGACTTGTAAATAATATAAAGTTGTTTTGCTTTATTGCTTGCTAGCAATTTCGTGCGTGACGAAACATCCTGATCTCTGATTGGCCAAATTTCTAATTTTCTAATTGATTGACAGGTGAACGTGACGGTATACCGTTCTGCTCTCTCTGTTCCCTCATATGACCGTGAATTTGCAGCTGTTACCTTGCTGCATGCTGACAACCATAATACTGTACACTGCCTTTTTCCAGACAAAGTTTGTAGAGGGAAACTATATAAACCAACTTTAATGCAGCGGGTCGACAAAACAAGATCTCCATCAGACCGACAACGAGGTTTCAAAAACAGTAGCCAAATAGGGAGAAAAATTGGCCAAGAGAGTTTAGCTACCGTAGAGTTCATTTCTCCAAATTTGGGGAAACCAGCTCCCTTGGACCAAGGAGTTTCATCAGCTCTCCTATAGCTAGTTATTTTCAATTTTGTCAAATTCCCTACCCTCGTAGGAAGGCCTGCTGAAGACCAGATAAAACGTAACTATGGACAAAGAATTTAAAACTGCACTGGCGAACATTTCATAACCCTTCTCTCTTCTCACACGATAAGAAGAGGGATTATAACAGTATGTATTGATTCTGACGTCGATGATTTTGAACAGCTGCGCTAGCTACACGTGCGCATCACGGGATTCCCTGACGTAACTGTAGCTGCCGCACATGTTACGTCACGGCCAATCACATGCAAGGTGACAGCATCCCTAGGGATTCACGTGCGTGATGGAAAACACCCCGGTATCATTCCAGCCAACAAAACTTTAGCTTCCACAGGGCTTGAAATACTTTTTTTCTCCATACCTGCACTTGGTGCAGGTAACATTGAAAATAACCTGCAGCACACAAATTTTAGCTTTACCACTCACAATTCTAGAAACCAGTGCCATTGAGAGAAGACCTTGTATAGATAGATATAATACTAGTACACACGCCACGTCTAGTATACACAAGTATACGTACTTTCGACTTCCTCTCGCACACGCATCTTGGTAATTTTATAAATGTAGGTGGTATGATTAGTTATGAAAATATGGTTTATCAAAAGATGCCTGCCTACCGCCTATATGCACAGACACAGCAAAAAGATGTAAGGAATATAAATATACCATTCAAATATCTAAAAATGAAAATTTAATTAACTCTTAAAAAGAATTCGCTAACATACAATCTGTACTCGTTTTCTACTTTACTAAACTATCGAAAAGTTGGTCATCCCACATGAGGTGGTAGCAACAATGCAGAAAAAAAAACATGTATATCAACCCAATACATGGACCAGTGCAGGTTAGGTGCAGGTAGACATCAGAAATACCTGCACAGCTCCAATTTTACCTGCCCTAACCCGCATATGCACTCAGTATTTCGAGCCCTGGCACATATTACACAATTAAGTTGACTTGCGTGCACTGGAAGTCTAATTGTAGAAGATGACGACAGTTTTTGGGTCACCTTGCGTGATCAAATCTTCTCAACTCAGTGAAATCGATAATGTCACAGTAATTGCAGATTATAGTGTAATGTTACTTAGTACGTACGTCACGGAAAGTTTACCCGCGTCTGTCACAGTACCGAGCAGTTCTCTTAATTGTATATTACTGCAGCTTGAACGATTTTGATCGGGACGTCTTGTCCAAGACTTGTGTTGCAGAGGTCACACGATCACAGAGGAGAGAAAAAGCGTTGTCATTTCTTGAAAATTCTTAACCACATTTCGTATCGTTTTAATGAAAATAGTCCCAGAGATGCTATGTACATGTAGATGGACCACAAATGAAGTATCTCAACATGTTACCTAAACAAAAGCGATTATAACTGCAATATGATACATTGGTAAGGCCTGGTAATTTGATACTGTATTGCAGCCACTAAAAGATCTTAGAGATTAGGCTGCCGGGCTTTAATCTTGTTTAAATCGATGCTTTGTTAACACGCTATCGATAATTCGTGTGTCGACTTGGTGAGAATTGCAATTTCAAAAGCCCACATTTTCTGTAAATAGGAAAATAGAAATATTGATACCATTTACTAATTAGGGGTTACTTTCTACTTATTTGTGAGTTCATCGTCCATGGTTAATAGGAACGTCATGCCGTTATCTTATGACGCAAATGGCGTCCATGCAATTATACGGAACGTCGATTTCAATTACCCAGGTACGGTGACGTACACTATCTACGCCTTACGTACATCATGACGCACCGGAATGTACGTAAGACGTTCCAGTCTTATATTCTCTGTTCCTGGGGAGAGCTACGCCCCCACATTCCAACGGGTGTGCGATGGTCAGATTCCCTACAAATCACCTAGCCTCTACCATAGCCTCTACCAGGCTTGGGGAGGCGGCTGGAAAGAGTAGAAATCGGCCAAATAGAGAGATAAGCATGCCAAGGGAGTTTGTCCGTTGAGAGAACATTTCGCTGCACCCCAAGGCGACTGGAAAGAGTAGAAATCGGCCAAATAGTGAGGCATATCATGCCATGGGAGTTTGTCTGCTGGAAAGCTACAGTCAAGTTGCCGCTCCCGCTCCCGATACAGGTACATATGTCTGGAAATAAATGAGACAAACAAGTTTTGATGCTTCCTTCAGAAAAAAAAATCTTCTATTCATCTCGGTTCGTATCCGGTCCTGGTCTCGTCCAATCACATCAACTGATACAGTCAGCAGTATCATGCATATGGTCAACCCATAAAATATAACACATTCTGTATTTAACACTGTACACTTTGGAGCTGAATGAAACATATATTACAACGTTATATAAATCCAATGCAATTTCAGGGCGGCAAAACTAGACTTTCAGTCAATTTTCTGGCCATTCTTTTAATTCTAGTCATAGCATACTGATATCTGTGAGGCACAAATGCAATTTATCTGATGGATTAACCGGTTAAACGGTTTCTTGTTCAAAATATGAAAGGCTTGTTGTAAGTATTTATGGGTGGTACCAAAAATAAAGGGACTCCTCATGTAGCTTGTTTTGGCGTTACTTGAAACACATCAAATATGACATGATAAAAATGTGATAAGAAATGGCAGTAAATGTAAATATCAGACAGATTTCTTAATCTAGAATACTTTAGTTTTGCTGCCCTGAAATTGGATTAACTGGATGCCTCTAACAATAGATAGGCTTTTATTCTTTTTCCTGTTTTACAACTCAGGTGTAGACTTTCCTCAAGTACACATTATTTCATTACAATATCTTGCTGAGCAGCAAAAAAAAATAATAATAACCGAAAAAGTATTTGCTATGATAATTTTGTATACATGTATGCTAGTTACAGAGAACATAATGATTATACAGTATTTCACAAATTGCCTTATATGTGAGGTTACGTACATATACACTAAAGCAACTACAGCATGTCCTATAGATTGCAAAGCAGTACAATGCACATGTATGAAGAAAGTCATTTGTGCCCTTTTCTTCAAGGATTTGTGCAGTCAAAACTCAACATTTTGTTGACATTTTACCAAGGACCTCCTTGACTTAACATGGACCTCCTTGATTATACAAAGTAAGAAATCTGGAGTTGATTGTCTTCACTTTTTACCACATAAGCAAAACTTGTCAGGTCGTTATTTAACCACAGCTTGGTACAATGACACAATTACGTACAGAATACAATAAAAGAGGTGTATATATGTACACATCAAATATTGGTGCAAGTGGTCGTTATCGAGAAATGCTGACCAGATAGGTTACATAAGAAATGTCCCTACTCTCACCTAGAGGGCCCACGTAGGGACCGACCATTTGGAAAGGGGGTGGGGTAGCATGAGATCGAGAGCTTTCAGCCTGGTATCCAGTATACTGTACTTTACCATAGTTTCAACTAGGCTCCCCTGTAGGAATTTTGCACAGCACGAATTTGATTAATCAACCAAGATGGGCAAATTGAATGCTGTTGTGCAAAACCTACAAAGCCTTTTAGAACTGGGCAGTTGGTAGCTGAAGGGAGCCTGTTCATGTTCAAACCATGGTAGACTGGCACCAGACTAGAGGGCTTTCTTCTCTTCAAAACATTATGGCAAATACAATGCATGAAGAAAAAGTATGTAAATTTCCTGCATACAAATGTACAATGACTTTTCTGCCAAATGGGAGTCCCTATGCTTTATACAGAAAGAACTTCACCTGTGCAAAACCCAGTATGTATTGTGCATAGCACTTAGGCAGAATGTCTCGTTCAAGGTTGTATTTGTGTATTGCATGACACAACATATTTTTGAAATATTGTGTCAGAAAAGATAATTTTATTGTCTGTAACAGCTAGGCAAAATTCTGCTGCAACATTGACCAAACATCCAAGGAAAACCGTGAAAAAATCTGGGTTTTGAACAGGCGCAGTGTGTTCTGCTGACTTGCTGTTAAATGCATGATCCCTCAGTAATCACTAAGGTCATATTGGTCTGAAGTGTCTGTGCCCACAACACGCCCCCAATATGCCCCCTGGACATTCAGTCAGCAGTTCATTCACCTACATTAAGCAAACATTCCATATTAAGTCACCAGGGACCCCAAGACTTCGACATGAAAAAATTGGTGTTACCAAGACCTTCACAAGAATGTGTTAAACACCTGTGAGGTGTGCATACCTTAGGATTACTCATGCTATTATTAAATTTGAAAATTAATCGAACGTACCAGTCTTGTGGTACCCGGGGACATTATGAGAGTTGACTTACACCTTCTAAAACTGAGAAGTCCTAAACATTTTGTGTTGATGCTAGTTTAAGCCCAGAGCATTTTCCATGCTGATTGGAGTATCTGGCAGCCTGGTTCCCAAGTCCATTTTAACTGTCGAGTATCTTTCGTCCTCTCCGAAAATTTGCAAAGACGAAAGAGACTCGGCGGCTAAAATAGGCTTGGTAACCAGGCTAGAATCTGAAACATTCCATATTCTCTAGAAAACAATGTCCACCTGACACAATCAAACAAGCATTGATAAAGATCAGTCAACCTAAATGTCGTGTGAGTTGGTGTGTGTACTCTCAGTACACATGGGCCCTGCAAATAAAGTAAAGGTCAGTGACCTGTTGAAATTGAAGTGTTACAAAAGTGGATAACATTTAAAAGTACCGGTAACCTCTACCAGGCTTTGGGAAGCAGGTGGAAAGAGTAGGAATTAGCCAAATAGACAGATGATATGACAGGGGAGTTGGTCTGTGCTGAAATCAGTTTGCCGCTCAAACTGTTCTCATAGCGTGGACCAACAATTCTGGCATAACATCTGTCTATTTGGCTAATTTCTACTCTTTATAGCCACTTCCCGAAGCCTGAAAGAGGCTAATTTTAAAGGGCAGTGCAGTTTGTATGGGGATTCTATACATGTATAAGAAAAAAATCATACAATCTATGCAGCTTGACTTTTCTTCAATGCATTCAAGGGTGAAATATGACTTTGGGACAGACCAAATGTAAAGAAAACTTTTGACTAGTTGATGAAAAAAAAGAAATTCAAGAAACAAGATCCACGAATTCAAACTACACAATACAAGCAAACTCAAACTAAATGAAAATAATAATCTTTACGTTGTGATTGACTAATACCCCATTTTCAGTTAATTTTTTTACCGTTCAAAAAAAAAAAAAGAACTGCTAAATCTATTTCAGTTACAGAATGTTTTTTTATGTTACAATTAACATCTTTTAATGATGTCCTTTCTCTGGACGACTTGTGGTCTTTCTGTACAGATAGTATCTTTTGGAAAACACATCAATAATGAAAAAAGTTCTCCCAATATACATTATACAGGTACTGCTAGCAATGCAGACATGGTATTATGCTGCATTAAATAATATAAATACTGTAGTGTAATTCACCAAAATATGGCTACAGACACTTCTTTACCACCATTACAAGTTCATTTGCTTGCTTTTTCAGTACATTCAAAGTGGTGAAGTGTCACACGAAGTACTTTTCCACACAAAAAGGGATTAAAAATCCCATTTTTTACGTAAAGGCTCTGAAAGCAATGGTAGAAGCTCTGTTTTCTGAACAAATGACGTTTCCTGTACGATTTCTCTTCTTAGATTACATGTCAAGAAGCAATTTTCACTACAAGCTCTCTTGTTTTGCACTTTGTAAATCTCTTGCTGCAATTGCATCAATGTCTTTCTTAGGAAATATGGAACAATGTTGAATTTACAGAAATAAGCTTGTATCTACTGTCTTCTACTAAAGTTGTATGCCAAAGGAAAATTTGTCCTTTGGGCCTGTACAATATTGCATGTGCAAATAGGACTCTAGTGAGACAATAGACAAAAGAACAATGGATTGCATAATTATAGGGATACTGCTCTAGACATTTATGCAGACAATACCATCTGTCTTTTTCCATATCATGTCATAATTCATTTTTGATGAATGCTGATGGAAAAAAAACTTCTTTTCTCTTTTGACATTAAGAATTGTAACTTATTGTAAGTTATTTTCATACATCTTGAGTTGTATGTACATATTGTGTCCTTGTGAGTTGAACAGAAATTCCAGAATAGGGGACTTATAACTTGATGAATTTAGTGCCGCTTTCTCTTTCTTTTCTGTACCATAGATTGAATATAATATCAAGAATAAAGCATACAAGCTTTCTCAAAAGCACAAAAGATTTTTCAAAAGCCTGTTGTACTATAGATTGAACATAAATATCAAGAAAAAAAGCACGGGTGAGGAGAGGAATTTGCTGCAATAGAAGTTACTTCTGGGACGGACAGGACAAGTATTTTCCTACGATGTGAAACATGTACATTTTATATAAATCATGCTAACGCTCAACTAGAGGGCAGCATTATAATACATCGTCAAACAGCAAAGTTTGAAGATAAGAAAAATCATCTGTTCTAACCCCCTAAGATGTACAAGTTTACAAATGTGTGAATATTAAGACAGGATATCAAAGTTTTTTTTTATCCACAACCACTTGTTAAACAAGAGCCGACATTTTGATGACCGTCTGTCATCATCTTTAAGTCAAAGCGATTCTGCCCTGAGGAAGATGACAGTGGCATCGTGTGGCATATTGGAAGGGCATTTGGCCCAGAACCCATGGGTCCTGGGTTCGATTCCACCTACATGCCCTGACATTGTGCCCTTGGGAAAGGTACTTTCCTTACTTCACTCAGTGCAGGAGTACCTAACTTCGGTTAGGGACGTCCCTTGGATAGGACGTTAAATGCAGTTCCTGTGTTTGGGAGAGCCACAACCCATGCATGCTTAAGAACCCACCACACCTTTCGAAAAAGAGTGTACGATGGTACAATGTAATACTGTCTGGAAGTTAGTGATTCACCCGAATGAAGGCCTGGTGAACCCCCGTCTTGTACTAGCCATAAAAGGCAGTAAAATTTTGAAGGTGGCTACCTCAAAATGAGAGAAGACAAACGGTCATTGAAACATCAGCTCTTGTAAAACAAGTGGTTGTGAATTACGGACTTTGATATTCAATCATTCAACAACCTGGTGAACTTCTTTATGAATACCGGTTGTTAGGAATGGTTTAGACTAGTAGGACGTTGCCTGTACAGCATTTACACATGGGGAAGTGTCCGTTGTGGACCTGGGAGGCGAAGTTTGCCGACGCTGGCTGTTTGATCTCTTGGATGAGGTCTATGATCTGGCGCGCGGTGGTGTCGATCTCCTGCGGCTGCGCGGGAAGCTCCACCGGCTCGTTGTTGGGTCCCGTGGTGATCCGGTGGTCTTCGCTGTACGAGGAGGCGTCCGAGGAATCGTCAGAGTCGTAATCTGTGAAAGTAGGGCGCAGCGGTGAGGTCAAGTCAAGTCAAACTTTATCACACAACGATTGTAGCAGGTATAAGGTATGGCAAGTAATAAGATTACAAGCTGGTATGGATCTAGCAAAATTCTACATCATTCAGTTTCAACTGGCTGAATGTTGAATACTGACTAAGAACTAGTACACTTTTACAAGTACGTGCTAGGCTAGGCTATACATGTACTATATTTATAAACAGTACAATGAGCAGTTGTATATATATATATACTATACTTCACAGAGTGTCAGCTAAATTACTGACTAAGATCTGATACAATTCCACATATAGGTGCGTACAATGAGGTCTTGCATATCTATTCTATAGTCTAGATAAACAGAACTCTCCAAACCAGCGTAGCTATAATCTCTTCCAAGTTATCAAGCAAACCTGTTGTGATACATTTTTTGTGAAACATACATGTAGTAAGCACAGTGGGAAACTGATGAAAGCAATGATGAGGTCAATGATTTGGCTCACATCTAGTCGTAAAGAAACAATACCTCCAATTTTCACGGAGGTAAATAAAAGGAAGCAAGCCTGACCTTCTATCCCATCCAATGTGGAGTCCTCCAGACTGCCGCCGAAGGTTTTCTGCTCGGGCCTGTGAACCGGACTGGACTGGGTGGAACTGGTAGCAGCAGGGAATGTCAGGTCCTCGGGGAAGGTGAAACTCTGCCCCCTTTCTGTTAGCATCTGCATGACAAGGTTCTGGAGCTGGCCCAACTTGTTCTGGAAGTGAAAGATACCGAAAAATTCACAATTTGATGAAGAAACGTACATGAGGCATGTTCCAAAATACTTTTTTCTCAGTTGGTTAGGGTTTAAGGGTTTGGCTGTCAGTGGTCCTTTTTATATTCTTACCTAAGATATTTGTTGATTTCGTCCATCAAGATTGATGGATTAGTTTAAGAATTTTTCTGTGAAATGCCACAAAGTTCTGGCGATTGATGGAAAAACGGACACTGGCTAGAGCCCTGACATGTCCTGGTGTCATAACACAGAATTGTTATATATATATAATATAACCAAGAAAGATGAATTACATTTTATTTCTAACTGCCCCTTTAACGATCAGGAAAGAAAAGAGCTATTTAAAGAAGCCACCAAAACTTACCTAAACTTCCAAACATTTACTGACGAAAAGTAAACTACAACCCTGTTAACCTCTTACATGTAAAATCCCCTCATTGTAAAAAAAAGTGGGACACTTTACATGTATCTTCCCCAGCTTCCAAAAAATAAATCAAACCCAAATAGTCAATTGTTCTGAATAAAATAGAAACTTGTTTATGTATGTTGTATACATTGTATGTTGTAATAAGCCCTTGGGCATGAATTTGCAAATAAACTTAATTATGTGTTATAATTAAGTACTATACCTGCATGTCTTCTCTGTCTATTGCCAGTCTGGTGATGAACTCATCCTTCTCTCTCGCTCTCTGGTGTAATGCAGCCCGCTGGTAGTGGTATAAGGTTATATATTCACCTGGGAAAACACAATATATTCTTTAAAACAATGCTCACATGGTAATGGTTAAGGAAATATAACAGACACTGTTGTATTACTTGTATAATCTAAATAACTAAATACTACATGTATGGCAAGATGACAAGGAAATATTTGGCCCTTTTCAAAGTACCGCTTTGAATATTTTCTATTTTTCTGAGAAAAAAATACACTGATTCAGAAACAATTCCTCATGAAAGTACTTTTCCACTTTTCAATCTCAAAATTCCACACAAGGGTCTGCTTCCCAAATATAGAAAGAAAACAGGGGGTTGACCAGCTTAAAGGCATCCAGTGCGATTTTTTTGCATTAAAACTGGAAATATTCTGAAAAAGGAAATCTGTTTGGTATTGACACATACTACCTCACTTTAGCACATCTGCGTCAGAATTTCATACTTTACGCGTTTAAAACAGCGCAGAAACTAGTGTCCTCTATTTTAGGGGTGCATCCCCAAAAATCAGGCAATATTGCCCCCAGTAACCGTTTTCACTCGGCACCTCTCGGCAAATCCCGGCCGCGTGACGTCACGGCGAGCGCGAAGTTTCAGCCGAGCCAAGATGGCGGACGTCAATGGCACCACACCAAACCCGAAAAAGCGTGGCCGTGGAAGGCCTCGTGTTGGGACACCAGCAAAGAAAAGGAGAATCCAGGCGAAGCTCAGAAGTCGTGTGGCGTTAGGGGAAGACACGAAAGTCGAGTGGAGGGAACTGAAGGATCGACTGGGACTGGA